AGTTTTCCATTGAGGCATCCTTTTTTTAATATTACCATGAATTCTTGGTAAAAGACCATTGTTTATCAAATGATTTCTAATGTTTTCAAAATAAGTCCTAGCATATTAAGATAAGTTTCTTGACAAAGGAATGTATTGTGATCCCAATGGTAGAAAGTTCTTTTATTAGATCTGGTTTTCTTTTCCCTATTACTATTAACATAATGGCAACAAAAATTTTTAAAATCCGTTGAAACGCGAATTTAATTATAATCCGTTGAAACAAGGGTTATATTGTACCGACCAGTTACACATTAAAAATACTCGTGTTTAACGTCGAGACACAATAAGATATAAGGACCAAAAACCAAATTGGCTGATATGAATCTTTAAGTTTTTATACCTTCAATTGGAAAATCTTCCTAGGTGAAGTGATTTCACCTTATTTCCCAGAATAGTTTAAAGAAGAATCTTGAATTAAAGGGAATACGTCCATACTTAAAGTTCCTTGATATATCTCTCAAATATCTTTTGGGCCTAATGAATTTTTAATTTGATAAATTTTGAGAAGCAAAAATACATTACATTATATAAAGATTTTAATTCAGCTATTTATTTACACAATTAAAATAATAAAATCATTCAATGCATTTTATAATTTTTGTAACTTTTGGTAATTTGTATACTTCAAAATAATCAAATAAATCCAAATCTGTAGATTCCTCTAAACTCAATAACAACCAAAATCTCTTCATTGATAAAAGTATTTTTTTTATTGGAATCAATATTTTTTTGTATAAATTCTAAGCAACATTTTAAAACTGGTAAGTTGCCAAATATAATAACTTTCTTAAATTCTAATAAAGCAACAATAATAATGAAACTTACAATACGACTGGTTTCACCCTCTGCAATAATTCTTCGAAATTCTTGAGCATCCATTTCAAAAAGTGATTCAAGGATCTAAAAAATATTATAGTTGATTAATTATAGATAAAAATCTTTTTTTTAAAAAAAAAAGGCATCATTAAATCATACATTTTCTGATATTATTACATCTTGACTTGCGGTATCATCTTTAATAATAATCCACATTAATAGACCAATATCAAAATTTGCGCTAAATGCTTTTATTTCGTCTATATTAACCTAAAGAAATAATAAATGTTAAATTAATTAGAGTAATTATTTGCATTTGCAAACCCAATTTGTCAACAATATTAAAGTTTTAATTACATTAACTATTATTGGCGTCAATGGTCTATTTTTTAATATTTCAGGTAATTCACAAAGTTTTCTTTCGATTGGTTCGTAATCCATTTGAATTGGATTATCAGGCCCAGAAGTAAAAGATTTAAGCATTTTTTGATTGTATGAATCGTCGATTGATAATTTCCTTTCCCCTGGTTCACTTTTAAGACATTCGTCTAATCAATCAATCAAATTATTAATGTTAATATACACATACATCATAATCATCCAATATCAATATTTCAAATCCTTTTCTAATCTTATAATATAATCGAACATTACCATTTTTTGTGTCATTAATATTACTTTCATGAAATCCAAAATCTTCGTTAAAATGATTTTCTTTTGATAAGTCTTTAGTTTGCTGATTTTGTTTGTTCTCATTTGCTAAATGTAAGTTCTCGGTCTTTTCTGCAAGTTTTAATATCGAAAACCTGCGACATTCTAATTCATCATCATCAAGATCAAAATCATCAATTATATGTTCAAGACCCAAATTTGGAAAGAGTGCTCAAAAAATCTAACTAAAATTCAATAACAAAGATATAATAGGTCTGACAAAGCCATTGAATTATTAATAAATATTAATATATCAATTTGCAAATTTCCAAGTTAAAGTTTCGCCCGCCATAAAAGGAACAACAAATTGTTCATTCAAGTTTTGATCTAGATATGAATATTTTTCTGGAACTTTTACGGATGCCTTGATTAATTTAGTTTTCAAAAGTTTATCGTTATGTTCGATACCATAAAATTTCTTGCCATTTTCACATGCAAAATCATTTAATCTTGGAATTGCACCAAATGAATCTAATATTGTTGCAAGATAAGCTAAAGCCAAAGGTGTTGTAAATACACCTGCACATGATTGAGCACATTCTTTCAAATGAGCTGGATGTGGCGCTGAATCTGTTCCCAAGAAAAATCTTGGATGACCTGTGTGAGAAAGTTATTTTTTAAAATGTTTGTAATGATATTTTTTTAAAAAATTTCAACATTCTTACCTTCAAGAATCACATCACGTAATGCTTGGCGATCATGAGGATATTTTGCAACTGGTTTACAAAAATTATGGCATTTTCCTGCCCAATCATCCGCTACTAATTGAAGATGATGGATAGTAATTGTGCAGCCAACAGTATCTCCAAGAGATTTAACCTAATGATTAGTTAAATTAACCAGTTCTTTTTCAGTGATTTTCTGTTTAATTAATTAAAAATATCATAGTATATTTATCTTACGACGTCAACCGCAGCTTTAGTTGTTGCATGTTCCAAGACAATTTTTAGGTTTGGAAAATCTTGATGTAATTTTTGTAAGTGAACCAAAAACTTTTCTTCTGCATTTAAAACGCATACATCCTAGTCATAAATATTGTTTAGATTTCTTTTTATTGTTGTCGTCGTCGTCGTCGTTGTTGTTGTTTGTAATTTTTTTTTTATTTGAACTTAAAGCATGAAATATTCAAACCTGATCTGGGTCACTAGGGAGTTCACCATGAAGATTTAAGATCATTCCTTCTTCTTCCATAGCTTTGAATACTTGATAATAATTCGTATATGATTCAATTCCTGAATCTGAATTAGTTGTAACACCTCTAGGATACGATTTAACACCTAAGATTACAATTAAACATTAAATTATTCAGCCAATATCAATAAAACGATGTTTTAAAAAGTGATGATAAATAAATGCATGCCAACAATTCCATGTGCTTTAGCTTTTCTTATTTCTTCAGGTGTCAATTCCGGACAAAGGTATAGACTCATAAGAAATGTGATATTAGGTGCCAACTCTTGAAGTTTGCCTTTATATGTTAAAGCTTGTTCTGTTGAGGTAATTGGTGGTTTTAAATTTGGCTATTATTAAACAAGAAAAGTTTATTAACATGTTATGATTTTTTTTAAATGTTATTAAAAGTACATCACCATAACATAACACAATGAAACACCTCCTTCAGCCACAAGAGGAACGACCAATTTCATTAAGGCATCTTGTCGTAAATGAATATGAAAATCACAGGCTGAGGTAATATTGAGTGCATTTAACATTTCTAAAAAATTTTCTATATACCAAAAAAAAAAAAAAGAATAGATGTTTCACGAACTTCACAATAAAGGTAATCTGCGATCTGTGAGGCGCGTTAATATTAATATTAATAAATTGTAATTTTTTCTCCTTTTAATGAAAAATATGAACGATCCTTTTATATCCTTTTGTAAGCGTAGATTTGAGAATACAAAAATCCATGTCAAAGAAAAGTGGCTCTCTGGTTCTATTCAAAAAATTTGTTCCAATGAATCCAGCAATGATACTTATAGTTAATTATATACTAAAATTTATAAAAAATTCTTGAAATCAAATCTAAAGGATTCCATTCACTCCACTATACCACAAAATATTGTTGACACACATCTTACAATGCTCGATGAAGGCAAACCAGCAATTTTACAAATAATCGACATTGTAGAAATTGGAGTTTCAACACAAAAATTATATGATATGTTAAATAGTTATTTATCCGGTTCGTTAAAACAAGGCCATAAATACAAAGATGTTAGTAAACAATTTAAGAATAATGTTCAAGATGTACAGCTTCCACGTTCTATTCTCAAGTTAACTTTGACTGATGGAAATCAAATTTTCGATGCAATAGAATGCAGTCCTATAAAAGATTTAAATTTATCTACACCAATTGGAACAAAGGTAC